GGGGGCTTAATAGAGGATTTACAGTAACTGGCCAGTATCCTTTAACCTTTTAGCTCCTGAGAGTGACTTTTAATTTCCCCTTACAGTATTGCCCTCAAATCAAATAATAAGGTCATGAGACTTGAGAAAATGATCACCAATTTAAGAAGCTCCTGATTGAAAAACAAATTCTCTTTGTAAGTACCATGGGAGGCCCTATACACCAGGAGAGCGTATAGGCACTAGTAGTAGTAGTAGTACCATGGGAAATGTAAAAAGAACAGTATGGAGAATATAAATACCAAATACCAGATAATGTGAATGGTTAAGGGAAAGATTTCCATATAACCCCAACATTATTAATTATGCACTCCATTTCATACAGGCTAAATGTAAAGGTTTCTTTGAAATACTCTATGCATAATTAACGTATGAGTTATATAAAAATCTTGCCAAAAAATCCACTTAAAAATTCAAGAGTAAAACGGAACAAAACATTAATTAGAACTGAAAATTATGAACGTTTCCTTCCAAAATTAAACAGCGGTAGTCTAGTTAAGTGAGATATTATCATGCAAGCAAAAGCAATGTCTGGAAAAAAAGTGTTCAGAACAAAATGTCAGAGTTCATTGGTATACACAACAAAAGCAATGCTCACCTCTTCGGCCATGTTTGAATCTCGTGCTCTTTGCATTCAGCGAACAACTGAAGGGATATAATACAGATAATTTCATTGGTGGAAAAAAAATACCACCTACCAATATATCCAATGAAATAAGCTGATATATTTTTGTCATAAACCCTTAGGATCCAGGCCTTGGAAGGAAGTAGGGTTAGGTTGCGGAATTGATATGAAGTGAAATAATTTAATTCTGCTTTACTTGGCAGTAAGATGACATAAATTGACATTTTTGGCTGAAGACAAGGTTGTAGTAGGATAATCTGGTTACGGATCGGTGAAAACAAATATATGATCGTTGGTGAGTATAATATCATTGCGATCAGATAGCTTAATTACTCATTAGAATATTTCATACTCTGCTAAAGCTGCAATTCAGTGTTTTCGATTAGACCAAGCCTTCGATTGTCTCAAAGGAAGAAATAAATCGCTTTACCGCATCCAAACAAATCACTTCTAGAAGGGTCACACAGTATGAAGGTAATACAACTTTGGATACTTAGACCAGCCGTAAAATCACTTCGATTTACACCGTTGATCTCGAGTGCGTCCGTGGAGAGGAAATAACAATCGTCCTCGCAATTTAAGAAACAGAAACCAAAATACGAGGTTGTTTGCTATGGCTGAAAAATTGTTTACTAGTATATCTTCAAAGAACATAAGCTACATATATATATATTCTTTAGTGGATGATCATTCTTGCTTTAGATTACTTTGTAAACATTGTAAACATAGACTCGCAGTCGTTTTCCCGGAAATCGAACACCTACTTCCTTAATTCTCAACAATGTTCAGAATATACAACAATTAACATTTTATAACGCGGAGCACGAGAAGTACACCAAGAGCAAACAAAATGTAACCACATGAAATAATATTTAGTCATGAATTAGTACCGACTGCAACATTTAAGGTTTCGGATTTCAGGTTTCAGTAAGATTCAGTCAGTGTAGGTACTCTAAAGCAGTCTAGATTAAAATTGACTCCGATTTTGGGAAAAAATGGTGTCAGAGGCCACCAAAACTCAGTTAGAATACATTCATATAAATCTTATCCAAGGTAAGCTGATTGTGGCCACTTATTGGGAATTAGCCAGAATATAAATGTATGCTTTAACCCTTTATGTTCTAACATCAGTGTGGAGGTTCTCCCTGCTTCCTTAGCTCTATTGATTTCCTTTGGTACAAAGAAGGATAATTGTTATTTGTCTAATCAAGAGCTTTTGCAAATAGAATACTGTTGTAAAAAGATGGTAAGTTTTGAGCTCAGTAAAGAAATATGTTTTTTGTCTAGTCATGAGCAAAAAGGGACAAATAAAATAATCTGAGTCCTCGTGAGGAATTGAACCTCAGACCTTCGATTCTCCACTCAGATGCTCTACCACTGAGCCTCAGAGACTCTTTGATG